TTTCTTCCAAGACTTCCATGTAGTTGCCAAGTTATCGTCGAATATAAGCGACTTTGGCGGTGGCAAATTCGATGGCGCTATAAATATTTGTGGCGTCTGGGCCATTTGTGGCGCTTGGATTTCTGCCTGTGGTTCAACCATCGTTTTATTTCGACTCAGAACACTCCTGACACCATGTAACGTGTTAGTTTATTACGATATAGTTTCTGATTAACAAGAAATCGAGAGAAATAGTCATTTGTTTACAATATATAAAACGCCTAGCTTGTGTTCTTTTTCGTACGCCTCGCTCGCCGCGCCTGTCAATCAAATTAATGTTTTCGTCATCGTGACGTCACCTAATAACATCGTGACAAGGTGCACATGTTGTTGCAAATTCTTTAAAAAAATCAATAGTCTGGATATTACAGCAAATTACTAGAGATATTACTAAAATCAGACACATAGCCAAATAATAAGGAAAACAAACAGTGTATACCAAGTTAATATAAATACCCTTTTGCAACAAGAACAACCCTGACGTAAGGGAAACCTCTTATAGTTGAATGCATGCTAACCGCGCATTTGAGTCGGTTCCAGCTGGTCACAAAAAACCGTTAATTTTTTGAATAAAAATCCTGTACAGAATTCAAATCAAATAAATATAGTACTAAATTATTTATAGCTACCTTTCTTTGATATAATAACAGGAACCATTACTTCTCGTGTTGAACATCATGTAAGTTATCGAGTCAATGACTGAAACCACAATCAAACCAATATATTAATGTTAAGTACATGCTAATCCTGCTATTATATTGTCTTTCTCTGTTGTATTTCACGGTATTTGCTATGCGGGCTTTAAAACAATCCAGTTGAGGAACAAACAAATAATTGTTATTGTTATCTTCACAGGCGCGTATCAATTTTCTTGATAATGATGTAAAGCGAAAGTATCAAATGTGTTTAGATAAAAAACTCTTCAAAACTTAATTAGATTGTGTATGACGGAATCTCAGACCATGTTAGACAAATAGACTACCATAGACTATCTACCTTATGTGGAAGCCGGGCTATATATATAGCCTGTTTAGCGAGACAGACCTGTATGCACGATCTTGTTGTGTTCTGTAATAGTAAAATGAACAAAAGGGCTGCCTGATTGCCAGATCTCATTTGAGAGTGGCAAGATCTAGCTATCTTACTGGATAAAAATTTCTCCATACAACACTCACATGTGGGGTGGCCTGGTTGCTGGAATGAAAGTTCAAAGACGAAAATTTTTCATAGAAAATTTGCTTGCATGTCTGTAAACTACTTTCTTGTTCGTAGTTGTTCGTATTCTGCACACCCCTATATTTTGTGCTTATCTATTCTTTTTTCTTCTCAACTGTCTGATATCCATATATGGTTAATAGTTAGTTTAATTATGCAGTGTGGTGTGGTCATTACAACAAATGAACAAAGATCTAAGAATTCGATAAGAAAGACTGCGAAAACTAAGACCTCTTGATTCTATGATTCTTATTAATTTATGAATTCTGGATCTCATGTGCTAGGCAATAATATATTTGTTATCATTACCAATGGAACTGGAATGCCAAGTGGGGAAGTGTTGACATATCTACATCCGTTCATAGCAATGGTTTTATCTACGTACATTTACATTATGATATTTAAATATTTTGTACTCTTTGTGTGCTGCTTGGTGCGTCCTATGAAATGAATTAAGAAATTCGTTTGATTAATTAAAAACACCCAAGCCAAGTGAATGTTTTGATAAATTAAATTCACCCAAGCCAAGTGAATGTCAGTGATTCGTTTGTTCGAATATGCGGGGATACCTGTGCGCCACATATACTTCATGGCAGACAGAGTCATGTTACGCCCTACCAGTAACAAGTAAATCGGTGCAAACGTGGTGCAAAGCATATAAATGTTTACAAGAAATGACATATCTAATGGCGTATTTTAACAGCATTACATATCGGTAGAATTGTGACCACTGAAAAGTCCATAAACGTTTGTTATAAAACCGCGCTCGTGTGTGAGGAGAGCATTGTATAACAACACGAGAGAGCACTGCGAGTAACGATTTCCTTGGTTTCTTGACTTGACTGTTAGTAAAAAGGTAAGAATGTTCTTGTAAATTCAAATCAAATAAAATAAAATAAATAAAATTAGGAAGTATTTTCAACTTAATAATTCGCAAAATTTATATTTAGACTTTTAAACACTGGAAGCATGTAATTTAATACTTTCCCCACACCCCCATGCATTGAGACAGTAGATAGATAGAAAAGTTTGTTTCAAAATGGTGGCACTAAACGCTGATAAACTCCTAGATTTCAACAAAAAATTAAACACTAATTACATAGAGAATAATGCATGGTGCGCAGAAATACCAGATATATTTCGATTGTTATCATTTATAGACCCGGAGCGAGGGGGATTCGGCGGAATATTACCCGCAGTGATGATGATATTTCCCGAGGGGCTTTGAAGCAAATAATTTATATTAATAATTTTCACATGTGAAATTATCATAAATAATCTCAAATGTCAGATTATCAGTGCTCGAAATCTCTATAAAGCACTAATATATACTTATATAATAAATAAATAAGATCAATTCTATTGCACTGATTATTACAGTGTATGAGCAATTACTGTAAATCGGCATTAACTTGACTTCATATCATATCTAAACCCTTTTCACGTTTGTTTCCATTGAAATATTACTCTCGGATTTAATCATGAAAGTTCTTCTTAGTAAATACTGCGTGAGAAAAGTTGATTTATCTTCCCTTTGACAAAAGTTGATATGTTATTTCTGAATACTAAACAGACATTTTTTAAATTTTAGCTTCAAATATGTCTGATGTACCATGGGAAAGCGAAGAGAAGCGAAATTACATTTGTATGCGACATATTATCACTGATGTTGTAAGTGAAGGATTGAGGAAAGTTTTTAAAAACGAATGGAACACTCGTTTCCAGGCAAGTTTTGGAGCATGGGATGACACCAGTGCAAGTGGTGTGCAGTTGTTTCATCAGGAAAGTACACGCTCAAGACCAAACAAGAACGTGAACCAGGCAAAATTTCAACATGGAGATACAAATCAATGGGATTCTTCCGTGCTTTTTGACGCAATTTTGTTCTCCAACTCTATTGGTAAATCAAGTTTGAATCCAATAATTAACACTGCAGTTGACAATATTCGAAAGATGAGAAATAAAATTATGCATGCTGATGAAACAATCCTATCTGATGCTGACTTCCAAACCATGATCAATGATGTTGAAAATGCATTTAAAGCCTTAGGTCTTCCAATTCATGATATCGCACGAATTAAAATTAAGAGAAACCGTTACAAATCATTTCAAGTTTTACCTTCAAAGCCAATCCACCAAGTTGTTTACCGTTCTGAGAAAATCAACGAAATGAAACAGGAACTCCAGACATTGCGCACTAGTAGCGGAGGGAAACTTACATATCTCTATATTTCTGGAAATCCCGGAAGTGGTAAATCAGAACTATCCCGGCAGATGTGCGAGGATTTGTTCAAAGGCGTAAATTGGGAAACAGAGCAGACATTTGCAATGACATTGGATGGAAAAGATGAAGACAGTATTCTCCAATCGTATCAAGATTTTAGTCGACGTCTAAATTGTTCCGAGAGTATACTGGTAAATGTAATGAATTCATGCAAACCAAAACGTAAAAAGATCAAAGATTTAAGATCACTGATTGAAAGCATAATCAAGAACTAGAAGAGGTGGTGGATTATTGTAGACAATGCCGAAAATCTCCATATCATTTCACCCCTACTACCACAGATGGGCAACGAAGTTTGGAATAATGGTCAAATTATATTAACAATTCAGAATAGAACTGCAGTCCCTTCCGACAGTCCGTTCACTAAACATATTTCAGTTAGTTGTGGTATGAAAATCCAAGAATGTCGTCAGTTACTGTTCTTATTATCAGGAACTGATGTTAATGATCGATTGTCAGATGAAGTTGCTGAGAAATTGGATCACCAACCTTTGGCTATAGCTGCTGCAGCTGTATACTTCAAGAAAGTCAACGTGAAAAATTGTTGTCCAAAGTTTTCGTGGCAAGATTACTTAGAAAAGTTAAAATGTAAAAGAGAAGTGACAGAAGAACAACTTCTCAAAACCAGTTCAGCTTATCAATCCACCATGTCTGCAGCGGTGTCCCTAGCTGTTGCAAAATCTGCAGAAAATAGTTTGATTTTACATCACACATTCGATCTTTTTTCTTTGATCTCTTTTGAACCGTTACCACTTGATATCATCACCAAATACATTCAACAACTCGATCAAAACTGCGATAAAGAAGAAATTTATTTGGCAGTGAAAGATTGTTCACTTTTTCTTCTTACTGAAATTGAAGATCGTGAAGTTCGTTTACATCGTGTTGTCCACGACGTAGCCAAATCATTGAGTAATTGCAAACAAACTGAGACTAAAGACTATTCTCAGTGTGACACTGCTAACAGGGCGAAAGCTCGAAGAAGAGTTCAAAACGTTGCAAAAGCACTTTATTGCTTCAAAGTCAGGGATGATCAAATCAAGGTGATTCCACATTTGAAGGCATTTAATTCAGCAGTTACAAAACTTGGTCCCGAACACACTTCATTACATTCAAATACATTAGCTTTTGAAAAGAGAGAAATTTGCAAAATATATTTGTTTTTTGGAAAAACATTACATCACTTCTATGCGTTTAAAAACGCTGTTGAATTTCATAATATGAATCTCCAGATTTCCAGAGGCTTCGATGCGCAAAATTACGAGTGTTCTATTCTTAACGATCTCGGCTTATTATACCAAAAAATGGGCGATTACGAACAGGCTAAGGATTATCATCAACAAGCACTGGCAATAAAAGAAAAGCAATTAAGTCCAGACAATGTTAATGTTGCACTTTCTTATAGTAATCTTGGCACAGTGTATCGTGCTAAAGATGAACTCGACCAGGCTAAAGACTATCATGAACGAGCACTGGCAATAAAGAAAAAGCAATTAAGTCCAGACCACGTTGATGTTGCACGTTCTTATAGTAATCTTGGCACAGTGTATCGTGCTAAAGGTGAACTCGACCAGGCTAAAGACTATCATGAACGAGCGCTGGCAATGAAAGAAAAGCAATTAAGTCCAGACCATGTTGATGTTGCACGTTCTTATAGTAATCTTGGCACAGTGTATCGTGCTAAAGGTGAACTCGACCAGGCTAAAGACTATCATGAACGAGCACTGGCAATAAAGGAAAAGCAATTAAGTCCAGACCACGTTGATGTTGCACGTTCTTATAGTAATCTTGGCAGAGTGTATCGTGCTAAAGGTGAACTCGACCAGGCTAAAGACTATCATGAACGAGCGCTGGCAATAAAAGAAAAGCAATTAAGTCCAGACCATGTTGATGTTGCACGTTCTTATAGTAATCTTGGCACAGTGTATCGTGCTAAAGGTGAACTCGACCAGGCTAAAGACTATCATGAACGAGCACTGGCAATAAAGGAAAAGCAATTAAGTCCAGACCATGTTGATGTTGCACGTTCTTATAGTAATCTTGGCACAGTGTATTGTGCTAAAGGTGAACTCGACCAGGCTAAAGACTATCATGAACGAGCGCTGGCAATAAAGGAAAAGCAATTAAGTCCAGACCACGTTGATGTTGCACGTTCTTATAGTAATCTTGGCACAGTGTATCGTGCTAAAGGTGAACTCGACCAGGCTAAAGACTATCATGAACGAGCACTGGAAATAAGAGAAAAGCAATTAAGTCCAGACCATGTTGATCTTGCACGCTCTTATAGTAACCTTGGAGCAGTGTATCATGCTAAAGGTGAAATTGACCAGGCGAAAGACTATTATGAACGAGCACTGGCAATCAGAAAAAAAGCAACTAAGGCCAGACGATGTTGATGTTGCACGTTCTTATAACAACATTGGCGAAGTGTGTCATGGTAAAGGTGAACCGGACAAGGCTAAGGATTATCATGAACGATTATCTTGCATGGTGTTATAATAACGTTGGTCTAGTGAATCGTGCTAAAGGTGAACTGGGCCAAGCTAAGGATTGTCGTGAACGACCACTGGCAATGAGAGAGAAACAATTAAGTCCAGACCATGTTGCAATTTCTTCTTACAACCTCACGGGACGAAAAATTAGATTTGCGGCTAAATTAATTTTGCAATTGTTGCAAATTTAGTTTACAACATATTTGCGGCTAAATGTTTGCAAATTTCGTGCGAATTTTGTAGTATAAATTCGCAACGATTGCGAATTCATTTTTGGAACTAAATAAATTCGCTTCCCATTTCCCCTCTTCTTTGCACACTTACAAATTTGTTACATTATTTACAACACATTTGCACATACGTGCGAATTTAAAGCTTCGCTTTGCTTAAAAGTCACCTTGCAACTTGAATTAGAAAACTTTGACGCCAATTTTATAGTCTGCATGCGTGTGTCAATTGAGATGCGAGATCCGACAACTGAATTTCGAAGACTAATCTTTGATCCTGAGCAACACGAATCGATGAAGTAGTTAAGATATTATGATCCACCAATATTTTTAATTTGGCTGAGGGCAAAACACACCGATAATTTTTGTTTTTGAAATCTCAGAAAATTGTTCGAATGTTGTTGTTTGTTGGGATTGAATTAATACTGTGGTGTGAATTTTGTGTATTCACTAATTTCATTTGTACCATATATGAAACTATGCATGATCCAAGGAGGCGAAGCCGCGCTCCGTGTTGCCATTCTTCACATTGGTCATTAAGGCAGACAGAGTGCATGAAAACAATGATATCGCTGTTGTATAGATAGCTACCTTGTAAAACAAACCTAAGGTGCCCAGTTGCATTCTGGACCAAGTTTGCAATAATATGAAATGAATATGAAATTGCAAACGGAATTATTAGTAGCAAATTTAAAAGCGTATTTACATCAAGTTTGCGTTAAGGGCAAATTTATTGCAAATATTAGATGTCAGTTAATACATTAATTTACACGTATTTTTCAATGATGCTATATTTTTCCGAAACAGTAACAGATATTGGCGATCGAAGCATGCATTTAATGCTTGGTAAACGGCAGTGGGCTAGTGGCTCAAAAGATGATATTGCATATTCTGATTGATTTAAACACGCTAAATCCAATTCTAAAAAGTTCTTGTCGGTAAACCCTGCAGTGTTTTTGTAAATTGCGATCAAAATTTTAAAATTACGAGTTTCGCAATAGAATTTTTAGTATATGCCATAAGTGAAAATTATACAGGATAGGTCACTTTCGCCTCCTCTTGAGATATGTGAATTCAGATTCGAGGTAAACAATGAGCAACACGATTTTCAAGTTTCATATTAGATAGCTTAAGATCTACGACGTCGACGTCAGCTAGGACGTTAGGGCTAAGCAGAGGACTGGGACTACATTAGGACGACATCCTAGTCCCAGTCTTCTGCATTGCCCTGACGTCCTAGCTGACGTCGACGTCGTAGATCTTAAGCTATCTATTATTGCGACAAAGCGTATTTTCTGGGTTTGTACGAAGATATTTAGCAACACCAGGTATTCTTTCAAGATTATGAACTTATGTGTACACTATTTCATCTTTTTAATATGGCGTGTAAAAAAAGGACGAAACAAATTTCAATTTTATATTTTGAAGACAGAAGAATGGACATACTGTATAGTATTTGGATATTAGAATGGTAATGCATATCAAGTTGTTGGACCTCGGACGTGTATCCTAGAGCTCCTGAAAATATATCGTATTTTATACAATTTAAACGACCAAAACGGTCAAACCGGTCAACACACGGTTTGATATTATTTAATCTATCGGTGGCAAAAAATTGAGCCAACTTCGAGTTGTTGATCTTAGAACCAAGCTCGAGAAAAGAGGCTTAGACAAATCTGGCTTGAAGAGTGTATTAGTTGAGCGCCTCGAGAAATCTTAGCAGAGTTGGGCGATTCGGCTGAGCCTATAGTGATGGAATGGATATCAAGAAAACTGAAAATTTTGAAGCCACACAGACATTGCTAGACGACGTAGTCGATATCCCCACGACCGCAGCTGTGGAGAATAACAACGAATTTGATAACAACACTGAAGTGGGACTAAATTTGGCTAATAACTTGCCTACTGAAATACCTACACAATTATTAAGAAATGACACGCAGTCTGAATAGTATAATTAGGTGAGATGAAACTATCTTCATTGTAATTTATTGCAGAGTCATGACTGTGGTTGTCAATGTAGATTATTTGCTGCGGAACTTGAAGAGCTCAAACTTGACATAGTAATTATGCAAAGAGATATTCAGACTAAAACATTTGCGGCTGATAAGCCGGACAAAAACGATGAAATAGGTCAATTAAAACAAGATCTCTTTAATGTAAGGTGAAAATGCAAGCGCCTTGAAGCCGACATTTCGATTTTGGTCAGGGGAAGAAGCAGAGAAATAAGCGAATTGAACAATATTATTGCAACCCTCCAAAACCATGACGAGCACATCAACACTATATTTTGACCCTGATCTTCATCCAGACAACACTTTACGTGCTTTTGACGAATTTATCCAGAGCTTCGAGCTCCGATATGATGCACAATATCCTGATCCTCCTAAAACATCTCTAGATGCGGCTATTGAACGATGGAAGCTCGCATGTATATTCATTTCATCGAAACGATTGTTTGCTGACTGGAAAGTCGCAAAACCGGATGATTTCAAAAGAGCTAAGGTGACGTGGAAATATTTCGTGACAACAATGCAAAAGCACTACAAACCAACAGAAAATCTTACACTTAATAAAATAACCACCAGTTCCGGTCTTTGGCACAGACGCCCATGAGTCATTTCCGACATTTTGCAATTGCGTATATAAAGCAGCTCAACACTGCAATTTCAAATGCCACAATGACGATTGCACTGCCGAAGATACAGCCATACGTGACCAGATTATTATTGGCACTACACATGACAGGATCAGAGAGGAAGCCCTCAAGAATTCATGGGACCTCCAACAATTACGCAAGGAAGGAATGCGAATTGAAAGTGCCACCAAAGGACTGGAAGAGCTCAACAATGAAAATCCAGTCAACAAAATGGGTAAATACTCCTTTAAAAACATGAAGAAAAAACCTGAGGCTGGAAAGCCCCGGTCATATTACTACTGCGGACAAGACATCAAGACATCCGTTATTGCTCACCTCAAATCCTGCAGAGCACGAACCAACAAATGTAACTTCTGTGATGCAATTGGCCACTATGAAATTGTATGTAGGAAGAAGAAAGCAATCAATGAACTGAAAAACGACAGCGAACAACAAGAACATCAAATCGAAGATCATGACCACAGCGACGTCTACAGCATCAACATCTTCAGAATAACCGAAACACCTCAGCAACAACCTCCTCATAAGAGACGCATGAAAACCAGAGATTTCAACGCACAAGTCATCATCAACAATAGCCTTGCAAAAATTGTTGGCTGACACAGGTGCAAGTATCAGCGTCTGTGGAAGAGAGCATGCGCAAAAATGGAACCGCCTGTCCAGAATGGTCCCAACCACGACCAAGATCAAGCCATATAACAGCTCGACAATACCAGTTATTGGAATTGCCAAATGCGCGGTCACATTTGGCTCCACATCCATTCCAGTTGATTGGCACATAATTGATACACCATGTGAACCTGTACTTGCAGGACAAAGTGCAGTACAACTGGGGATAATCCAGTTTGACCCTCAGCCCGAAGTTTACCAACCAGTACAGATGATCCAGTGTAGCAAAAAGGAAGCGCTTCAAGACATCTTAAAGAAATATCCGCAGAGTTTTGAAGGGCTTGGAAAGTTGAAAAACCACCAAGTTAAACTGCATGTCGACCCCAGTGTTAAACCCGTTGCCTCCCCAGCTCGACCAGTGCCATATCACTTGAAGGAACGTATCAGAACAGAGACTGACAAGATGGTAGCCCAAGATGTCATTGAAGAGCATCCACCAACAGAACCAGCACCTTGGGTGTCAAACGCAGTTATTGCACCCAAATCGGACGGCGCCATTCGTATGACCCTTGACGCTCGCAATGTGAATAAAGCGATCCAAGCTTCCAACCTGCCCATCCCAAGGCAAGAAAACATTAAAGCTAAACTTAGCGGAGCGAAGGTGTTCTCGAAGATGGACTTTAAATCAGCCTTTTGGCAACTTGAACTCCACCCAGATTCCCGGTACCTTACGGTGTTCCACGCAAACGATAAACTATACCGATATAAGCGACTCACCATGGGCGTAAAGCCAGCACAAGGAGAACTTAACATGGCTCTTCAACCGCTTTTCGCACATATTCCACAAGCACATCTCATCCATGATGACCTTATTGTTGCAACAGAAACCGATGCAGAACACCATTTCGCGATTACTGCCGTCATGCAAGCCATCACTAACGCTGGTATAACCCTTAATCCAAGCAAGTGCACTTTCGGAGCCACTGAGATCGAATTCTGGGGTTTGGGTATTGGTTCCGCAGGAGTACAACCAGATCCTGCCAAAGTGGAAGCACTAAAGCACATCACACCGCCTCGATCAAAGAAAGAATTGATTTCTCTGTTTGATGCAGTCCAATGCCGATTTCATTCCAAACTTCGCACAACACGCGGCCAAACTGAGAGAACTGACCAAGAAAAATAGTCGATTTACATGGACGAAAGAACACCATGCCGCTTACGAAGCATTAATCGAACGATTCACAGTAAATACCCTACTCGTGTATTTCGACATGAGCAAGCCAACTTTCATTTTCACCGATGCACACACTATACTGCAGTGACTTGGGGCCATGCTGGCACAAGGAGGTACACCAGAGAGCTCAAGACCAATTGCTATAGCTTCTAGAACAACAAACAAGGCCGAGCAGAGGTATCCACAAATCGACCTTGAGGCCTTTGGTATTGATTTTGCTCTACGACGATTTCGCAACTATATCCTTGGTTCCCCAACCGATATCCAGGTTATAACTGATCATAAACCATTATGCTCTAACTTCAACGGCAACCGTGAAGACTCGATTCGTACAGAAAGAATAAAGCTCCGCCATCAAGACATCAGATTTGCGGTAATCTACCAGTGTGGGAAAATTAACCAATCCGACTACCTATCCCGACACGCGAAACCAATCGAGAAACTACCTCGGGAGGAACAAACTGAAGCGGATGACCTCAATAATCTCCTGTACCTACTTCATACAACACCAGCCATCGACTCCGTGGGTATTAGTGCTATTGCACAAGCCACAAGTGAAGACCAGACTCTGCAAAAGATAGCGGCACTCATCAAGAAGGGACAGACTTGGATCCCAAAGACAGAACCTGCCGAAGTTCAACGTTTTCGACCCATCCTTCCACAACTCACAGTTACAGGAAATGGCATAATCCTCAAAGATGAAAGGATCATTCTTCCGACTAAGCTCCAAGAAAAAGCTATCCAGATTGCACACAAGGGAGCCCAACCCGGACAGGAGGGGTTGAAGCGACGGCTTAGATATAATTTCTTCTTCCACGGCATGGATAAGAAGGTGGAAGAGTTTGTAAAGTCATGCAGTGACTGCAATGTATTTGTGGATAAGAAGACGAAGGAGCCAATCAAACCACACCGAGTACCAGAGAAGTGTTGGGAAACAGTTGCAGTGGATTTATTCGGACCAATGCCATCATCTAAACATGTGGTGGTAGTACAAGACCTAGCGTCAAGATACCCTGCAGCAAAGTTAGTCACATCAACAAAGGCAGACAAAGTTATACCAGCCTTGACAGAAATTTACGAAACATACGGCAACCCAGATGTACAGATCTCAGACAATGGTCCACCATTCAACAGCATTCAGATGCAAAACTTCGCCAAGACCATAGACATCAAGTTACAGAAATCACCACCACTACACCCCTCCTCAAACTCAGTCGAAACCTTTATGCGGCCCTTGGGCAAGGCTATGAAAACTGGGCGTCACAGCGGTATTCCCGGAAAAGAAGGCCTAAAAAATGTCTTGAAAATCTACAGACAGACACCCCACCCGGCAACCAATCTTCCAACGGCAGCTATGATTTTCCGCCATGGACAACGCCTGGTCTTTCCTAGAAGACACGCAACAGACGAAGAGATGATCAGGGCACGAGAAGCAGACCAGAAGAAGAAACTGGAAAACGAAAGTAAAGTAAATGGCTCCAAGTACCGGAAGAAATCTCATTTCATAATCGGCGACAATGTCCTGATCAGAAACTAGAATAAATCAAGAAAGTTTGACACTCTCTTCCTCCAGGAAGCGTTCAAGATCATTGATATGAACAGGGAGGGGAACATAGTCACGGTACAACAAGAACGAAGCGGTCTCACACTATGTCGCCACCCGGATGATCTCAAACCTTCGAAAAGTCGACCGGACAACCGCGATGAGAAACATGAGTGCATGCAGTACGCCGACATCCAATGGCCAGAAGTAATTGAGCACGATGACGACAACGAGAGCTACTGCCTGGAAAAGAGAGATACAGCACCACCGCCTAGACGAAGTCAACGGAAACGGACGACCATTCCAGTTTACAAGTAAACACGAATGTTTACGAACATTATTCATTTTATCTATTTGTGATAGGGGATGATGTATATGTATATATTGTGTTAATGTTGAACAAAGCGGGACGTCAGGAGCGATGGGGGATAGTTAAAAAGAGCGGGAAAGGACGGAGAAAAAAGAAACATTACATTGTATACTAGGGGTTGATATTATTAAAAGAAACGAACAAACCAGTTTATATTTCGTTTCTGGTTGAATTTTACATTAAATTGAAGCTTATTACGTTAATAATATACATAAAGATAACTCGACTGTGATTGGTTGATTTCAGTGCAGTTAATGATCCCAAACAGCAGTGCAATTTTCTGTAATCACAGTGCAATTTTCTGTAATCACAATGCAATTTTCTGTAATCACAGTGCAAAAATCGGTAACAAACTGATCTGATTGGTGGAAAAACATTGTGATGATTAAGTCAACCAATCAGTTTAAAGAAATTTATAGTTTAAAGAAGTAACGGTCACAGATTGCTTCCAAACAAAACAAACATGGCGCCGCGCTACACAAAGTAAAAGTTGCCTTCGCGTGGAAAATATAGCTTTTATCTTTATTTTTAAATGGAAAAGCAATTACCTTAAACAAGACTAACAAAAATTACATAGTTAGATGGAATTTTCAAGCTGTTAGCGTTGCATAATGACTAATGAGATATAACAAAGCCAGGAGAACTTTACCAGTGGAATGTTCGCTATAAACGCGTAAGTTAAAACTACAATTGTCTCGAACATTTTTATGTAAATTATTAATAAGTAATAGCATGGTTTCTTGTGAAATTTGGATAAACATGCACTCGTGAGTTTTTCAAAGACCTCAAATAGCACTCGTCCTTCGGACTCGTGCTATTTTGATGTCTTTGACAAACTCACTCGTGCATGTTATATCCAAATTGCACTCGAAACCATGCTATTACCTATACTAATAACATACCTAGCATATATATATTTGGGACTGAATTGATAATTTTGTTATTAAAAGTGATATTTTGGAGGGATTTTTCAATTTTAAAACTATTCTTAAAATTATCGTGTTACCATGACAACTACTTTGAATTCTTCATATTCAGAAAACATAATGTTTTGTCAGTAAGGCGAGGGTTTCTGCATGCATGTATTTTCTAGTATGTAGGTATAACTTTACCCTAAAGTTGTCAGTGTTTCAAGTTGTACGAGCAACATAATATGCGATATGTGATTCTGTGATGGGCGCAGGTATGAATGTGCCTGCAGCTGTAGTCAGTGTAGTGCATGCGAAAGCAACTACAACACCTGTGGTAACAGCTAGTGTAGCTATGGTGGTATGACACAACAATAACAGTCTACCTTTTGTGGCTAGGACAAAATAATAACAGTCTACCCATTGTGGTGGAGCGGTCACTGGAGCCCATTGCATGGTGGAGCTAAAGTCCACTGAAGTACAAAATAACGTCATTGATCTGCCTATTGTGGTCCAGCCTAATGAGGCAACCTTGTACCCAGGCTCTTACCTTCGCCCGCCCTCAAGCTGCGGAAAGACCCTGGTTGGGGCTGGTCACGTGACACCCCAGAATCTGGGGTGTTTTCAATTAGCGTTTAAAAATACTCCGGGAGGAGTGGCAAGGGAATTATTGCCGATGCTGTCAAATGTAAAAATAAACAAAGCAAAGGCAACTACGAGCGCTAATAGTAGTGTGAAAGAAACTCCTAAAAGGTATATAAATCCTGTAGTGTGCCATCCAATATTACATGTCGACCGCTTTGTCGAAGTAAACATACAAGATATGAAGATAATATATTTTTAGATTAACCCAGTCTATCCTGATACTCGACCCAAATGATTTATTTAATAACGGGGATCTTATGATTTCCGAAATATCGCGTGGTCATGAGTAATTTCCTGCATTGGCTTCACTGAAATTCAACGATCAAGAAATATGTCAAAGTATACCTCTCTGTTATCAAATCCACGGTAAAATAATACCACAACAGCCTGCTACTCGAAAGAATAACATTCAGGTACAGTACATGAACTCTAAAAAGTAGTAAAAAAATTTTAAATCAGTTGGACTCTCTGAAATGCCATTTCCTGACTTTGGGGAAGATTTGACATAATTCTGGTGGTCAGAAAACAGCGTTTTAGTATGTCGAAATTTACAATTTAGTAGCACTAAATGGGCGATTTAATTAACTATATATTGGATAAATTGCAGGAAAGTATGAGAAATATCTTCATTCTTTGCAGTTTGTCATGGATAATATAGCCATATAAAATTAATCAATTGTCCATATTTTAAAGGTATATTATTTAAATGATAGAAGTCTGCATGATTTTGGAAAAAGAAAGATTACGGCCCTGGGTTAGGAGTAGGGTTAGGGTACAACGTCAATAAACTGCAAAGACTGCTAAACAGTTAGTGACTCAGACATTTGACTCGGGCTCGGATTTGATTCGGACTTGACACAGTAAA